TACAGCTAAGTAGGCTACAACAACTCAATGGTTACTTGGGTGAACGAACGATACAGATGTCTGTAAAGAAGAAACACAATAATTTCCTATATTAACATCACACTGTTGAACTAAAAAATAAATGTAGCCTACTTAGCTGTAGAAAAAATGAGGTACAGTATATGTGTGGGGGAACAACTCAATGGTTGCTTGGGTGAACTAACAGATACAGATGTCTGTAAAGAAGAAACACAATAATTTCCTATATTAACATCACACTGTCAAACTAAAAAATAAATAAATCCCCCACACATATACTGTACCTCATTTTTTCTACAGCTAAGTAGGCTACAAACAGTCTGGTATAACACTAGTTACACTGAGCCAAGTAAATTATACAAACAGTCTGGCATAACACTAGTTACACTGAACCAAGTAAATAATACAAACAGTCTGGCATAACAGTAGTTACACTGAACCCGGTAAATTATACAAACAGTCTGACATAACACTAGTTACACTGAGCCCGGTAAATTATACAAACAGTCTGACATAACACTAAGGACACTGAGCCCAGTAAATTATACAAACAATCTGGCATAACACTAAGGACACTGAGCCCAGTAAATTATACAAAGAGTCTGGCAAAATAATAGTTACATAGTGAACGTTTGGTGATTTTGTAATGCCTCAGATGTGTTGTTTCAGTTTTGTGTCCTCCAAGTCAAAAGTTGAAGCCATGGATCAATTTATGCTGACCAGTAGGTAAGAAGTGCAATAATTTGTCGTTCTGATCGTAGGTCAAGTTTTAAAGGTCCTTTGACTTATTCATCTGTGTCGTTATACAAAAATTGTAAGTTTTTATAATCAGTATTTGTTGCTTTTATTACAAACCAAATCAAAGTTTATCGAACTATTTTCTGTGGTATTTCCCCCCACTCGTTCAACTCCAGATCAACTTTTCTTGAGTCAATTCTTTTCTTTCTCTTTGGCTAACTCATTAGTCTCCATTTCCTTTAATTCTGTCATTTTCATGGGATTTTTTATTTGATTGGCTAGGTAACCTTAGAGCTTTCTGAAGTTAGGAGTACTTGTACAATGTTAGAAGTACTGGATACTATGAACAACCAAAAGGTTACAGTACATTCACTTATAGAGCCAACTTGGTGGAATTGTGACCATTCCTAGTCTTACCATCCCTCCTTACTTATTTCTATACTTCTTTTTATGTACTGTACTTCTTTTTCTAATTTTCTTGATGCAACACTGAGATAGGTAAGATGAGAGGGAAATTGAAATTAGTTCACGATCACAGTGAACGTAAGGATAGGGATTGTTTATGGAGCACAGCCAAGGGTTGATATATACCCAAAGAACATGCTACACTTCTGTTAGCCAGTATTTGGTGCGTATGGCACCTTGAGAAGTTGCCATCTTTTTTTAACCCATCTAGGTCCAAAGAAGTCTAATGGGTTATCTATCTTATAATAGGATTGTTGAGGTAAAAGTATACAGAGAAACTACATAGTTTTTAGGAAGTATAGGATTTTCAGGCTGAGTGTGAAATAAATATAGCAATGTTTCAACTGTTGTTGCTGGAAATGCACATTTTGAAATTATCACAATAATAAATGCAATAAATAGGTAAATCAGTGCTAACACCCACTTTCCATTAGACAGAACGTTAAATTACATCGGCAGAAGCACAGATATTTGATAATGTTGGAACACCGAGTGTAGAGAATCCATGAGATGGGATAGCATTGGTTCATCATGTTGATGACAAAACAAGGTCATGTAATGGTAATAGTATAAGGCTTTGCGATATGCATGGTACCATGATCGAGCACAAGAAGGACACGAGTAACAGTTGAGAGGAAACAAAATGTAAATTCATGGGGAAAACAAGTGCATGTAGGTGGAGTTGGGACAACAATTTATACATATCCAGTTTGGTAGCTTTATTTAAATTGGATCATGTATATCAAATGTGAAATATTTTGTATATATATATATATATATACGCATAGACTATAAAATATAAATGCTTGGAAAACAAATTTTTTAGTTGCGAGAGAAAATGTATTCCAACTTCTGACCAAAAATTAGGAGCCAGTTATTAAATTACTTTGGTGAGGTTGTTTATGGGAAAAAAAACTAACTTAAAAACGAGAACAGATCTTTTAGTAAAATCAGAAATAGTGACTAAATGGTTTTCTTCAGTTCTATATTGTATAATCATTTGAATTGCTCTGTATGATGAAAAATACCTCACTTTCAGATGTCTCAACTTTTTAAGCCTGAAAATTGAGCTGGTGATTGTCTTGAAATTAATATTGACTTTCGATTAAAGCAAGCTAAATAACATAGTAGGTAAATAAAATGATAGAAGTAGCCAAGTAGTATTAGTTAGCTAGAAAATTAAATAGCCCAGGACTTAATGTAATAGAGGAAAAAGAAAAGTTAAAACAGCCATATAAATTACATGGAAAATATTTTACCAAAAATAGAAAAAGGTTAATTTATGAATAAGTTATAAGACTTGTTAGCTTTACTCTTGGCATGAGACGAAGTGTTGACCGATGAATTTTAGTTGTGACAAGTGGCGTTACAAATCAATTATAAATATGAGAATGTATTTTTGTGATCAAAGAAAGCTGTATTGATCAGAAGTTTTTGTAATGTTATTAAATTATTATCATAAATCTTAAAATACACGTGTTTCTGTGTTTTTATAAAACTTGTCTACCAATATCTTTTTCAACTTATCTGTGATAATCTTTTTTTGATTTTTTGTAACAGGTTATATATATAATATATATATATTAAAAAAAATTCTTGTCTTACAAAAGAAAAACTTATATGTAATTCATATTTCTGTTTGTTTTTTCTTTCTTTCTTAGCTTTATTTGTATTCAGCTTGTTAAGTTAAATATATTTTTTTTTGTGTTTGAGCATAGTTCTTCCAATACTCTACAGAACCCCCAGGTCTCGGCTATATCATTTAACTAACTGGTTAATACACATTTCATTATTTGCCTCTTTCTTGCCAAGAATAAACTTTGTATAAATAAAAGAAATTATGCTTAAAGCTAAATACTTTAGACTGGCTTTTCCTGTATAAAAACAATATTACAGTTGTTGAGTAATTGTAAGCCATTAATGTAACTTTGTAATGTATACACAGAACATATCTTAGCATACCTTGATGCCTTAGTTGACGTCTGTGATAACTTTAGCCACCTAGTGTCATCAAATAACTACCCTAATTCTTGTGTATCAATTGACCTGTAGTCATGATAAAATCAATGATCCAGAATATGGCAGTAATATTTTTCTGACTGTAAATCAGATCCTTCTATCAACCATGTCTTATTTGTGTATTAATCCACCTTGCGAGACACTAAAATTATTGGTAGCAAATATTACTTTTATAAAACATCTGGTAATATTTAAATATCTAGGAATCATCGTGCATTTACACAATAAAACTAATCTTTTAGTTCTCAGTCACATCCACCTGAAATGAGTTTTATTTCATTCTTCTCCAAGTGATGAGGATATTTCTTGTAGTACAAGTACTGTTTTGAAAGTCGCTTAAGGGTTACATTGTCCCACAAATGTGTATTAGTTTTCAGGTGACTCCGGCAAATAGGAAATACAAAAAAAAAAAGGAATTTTAGAAATGTTTTTGCCAGGTAATGTTTATATTACATGGCTTTACAAATATACCAACAAACTCACTACGCATAGTAGTTGAAGGTCTTTTACAGAGTTGTGTCAAAATGTTTGACCAGGATGTATATTAATTGCCTTTAATATGGTTTTGCAGTTTATTTATGTGTAACTCAGTTAAAAACGTGTAATATTGATCTGTTATAAAGCTAGTAAAATTATTTTTTGGTTATTCCAATCAAGTTGTGGATATTTGGCTCATCAAACTAATATTGTATAAAATAGCCACTTGTGTATATTTGTTTTTTCATGTATACTGTTATCGATGTTATTTTTGAAATCAACAGCATTTATTGTGTAGTTTTCAGTTGAGTTTTTAGCCAAATTCGTTGTTATCGTGAAGTTCAATGTTCCAGTTTTCTAAAAACTGTGTCCGGTTTAATGTTTTTTTATTCCATAACAAGGACAAGAAGAAGAGTGTGCGTAAACTGATGTAGTTCTTATATTTTCCAGTGCGTTATGCTTGCTTAAGGCTGCTCATTGTATCAGATATTAAACTTCCTTGAATAGAAGAGGTTTTTAATTGACTAAAACTTGCATTGTTGTGTGTATTTTACAGTTCAAAGCAGATTTTGTTTTAAACTTAGGAGGGTTGCCTCATGTGGTGATCAAAATTTTGCTTCTCGCACATTCCACGACGCAACCCTATCCTTCACAACAACTTTGGATCAGTTTAGTTTTTCATTCAGAACTCTTGAAATTATGGGTCATAATTTTTATTCACAAGAAGCGATTGTAGATTCTTTTTAAAACGGTGGATTTCGACGAGCTCTTGAAACAATCGTAGCAGTATTAAATATGGCTTCACTTCAACATGAAACTTACTAACCAAACAAATTGTATTTTTGCGAGTTTTTCATTGCACTAGATAAAATAAGGGTCCATTAAAATACTCTCTTTATCGTGCAACTTATTTAACCTGAACTTCAAACACTTAAGCTGGAAGTTTTTAAGTTACCTAAATTTACTATGTGTATTGTTGAGGTGAACATAAGAAGAAAGTGACAGAGTGAAACAGTAACGTTATAGATAATGTTTAAGAATAACATTAACATGGTGATGTTATGGATACAGGAAAGCTATATGTAAGATAGTAAAATATAAATTTTGGTAGAGTGTTAAATAAACAAAACAAGATTTTTATTACATCCAATCACAACTTTTAATGTTTGGTTGCAGATCCTATTATTAAAGAACTTCCACCAAGATGCATTGAAGAGTTAATATTAGTTTTGATAATTTTTTTTACATTCTTGCTCCAGAAAAACAGTGCCTGAGATATGAACATTTTTATGGAAAATACAATCTCTCTGAAGTAGTAAACAGCCAATTAGCAGCTTTAGCTTGGATAATAAAATGGTAATTTAGATACAAAGATATGTGCGTCGGGAATTATAGTCTGTATTTCCTGTATCTTATGTGAAATATGAAATGTTTTGCTTGTTCGATAATTCATTATTGCTTTGAAGGATAAGGAAAATTATAAACATTCTGAAGATAGACACGTAAAAATATCCAATATGGTTGCATAATGTTAGAGAGAAAATATCAAGTTATTAAGATGATAGGTTTTGTGCAAATTTTTGGGACAAAGTAACTCGGACACACTGTAAAATAGTCAGTCTAAAAGAAAGGGAGAGAGAAAAAAAATGTAACTTTCAGTAAAGGTTAACCAAAAAAAAAAAAGATGTGGATGTTCATGTTACTTTCTTCACTAATCTTGAAACAGTTTTGTGTTTGCTGAATATGGATGTTTTTATTACTGTGTAAAATACTTTGTTAAAATGCTTTATTTTCTTCTACAATTGTTGCAGTGCTAAAATTACGTGCTACAGACCAGCTGAAGAAATCTAAGCCATTAAGTTTTGAAGAAAAGTTATGGGAAAACTTCATTTTATAGATTGGTCGAATTTGTTACTTTTGACAAAAAAAAAATGTCAGTTCATGAGGAAGTGTTTTGAATAGATTGAACTTTTTTACAATTTTTATTAGAAGTGACATTTTACTTTTCATAATAATAACCTTTTGTTTTAACCAGCTGAAGAAGGTCACCATTAAAAAGTTGTGAAAAAGTATCTAATTTTAGTTTTGGATATGATGTAGTAAAGTTTCTTATTGTTGAATATCAAAGATCTAAGTGCTTTCCATTACATTCAGTTCTTTACCATACAGGTTCTCTAGGAAGGGGATGAATTAATCAGTTTATATTAAGACAAAGTTGAAGTCCCTTTTTTTTTTCCTGTTGTTGTTGTAATATAAATGTTTTCAGTGTAATTACTTATGTGGTAGTAAGATGCTTGACATTTGTAACAAGACTATAATTGGTCACACACACACACACAATGAAAGGAAAAAGTAACTAAATATAATATAAAAGACAATATTAGGGGAACAATGCAAGGTAAAAGGATTACGTACACACAAACTGGTCATTGTTATTTGAACAATGAGAAGTGCACAACTCTACTTTTTCAATTTTTCTTCTTAAAAAAAACAATCCTGCCACAATCATTGCCAACACGTCAAATGAACATGGAATTGTGAACTTCTTGGATATTGTATATAATGGTTATTCCAGTACAACTGTACATATATATATATATATCTCACACTGAAAGAAAAGAAATTTGTACAAAGCCAGTCCTGTTAAATGTAAGTTATGAACTCTTCGTTCCTCTGTTGTCTGTGCTGCTGTAATAGAGGTAACAACTGTAATAAAGATCTAACGGTCACTTGTGTTTCCATGTCATTTAAATTTCACTTTCCACGTAAGCTGCAATGAGAATATTCCTAGATTTACAAATCTGCATCTCGTTAACTAAGGAAAATATTAGTTTTTCTGATGAACTGGATTCTACATTTATAATCCAAGTATTTGAAAGAAGTAACTCTGAACCACTGCTTGACTGAAACTTTTTCATCTTCGATAATCTTAATTTTTACACCTATAAAAACGTAAAAAAATAAACTGGAACATTCACAGGTCTGTGCACAAAAACACCATAAAATTTCAGAATGATTTGTTTATTTGTATGATGTCCAGTTCAAAATTTATTTCCACATCTGGGAGAACAGAAAAATAAATAATCGAACAACTGTGCTATATTCATTATGACATCCTAAACATTAACAGGTGCTGTATATTATACATTCTTTACACAAAGTTTAACTATTACCAGTTTGTAGCAAAGAAAAGGAAAAATAAAACACATTGAACTGATAACTTGATATGTATCGTAAAATGTACACCTGAACTGGTAGCCTGTAGAATCGGACAATGGGTGGTACGTTTATTTAATACTAATGATATCCATTATTTGGGCACTTAGTGCCACACTTCACTCGATTTAAACTGTTGAATCACACTCGTCAAGTAATGGATTATTTAATAGACATAATGAACAGTACAAGTTTTCAAGGACAGCCATTTTTGTATTGAAATCTACTAAAGTTAATTTTATTTAATACTAATGATATCCATTATTTGGGCACTTAGTGCCACACTTCACTCAATTTAAACTGCTACAAGCCGATTATTATCGACTTTGACAAATATCAATATTACTTATTTTCTGTTAAGAGGAGTATTATAAAAGGAATTATAATTCATAATAAATGCTACTACCTTCTGAAATAGAAAAAAAATTTAAGTAACTAAATGACTGAAACTTTTTTAAGACAACGAATCTTACGAGTTATTGTATGGTAATAATCTCTCTGTAATCTACTTCAGATGTGGAAACATCAGTGATAGGCTATATTTTACTTGTAACCAAATAAAAATGAGCTTAGCAGTAGTAGTGTCTCAATAATTAATGCATACAAATAATGTAGTAACTAAATTAGCTTGCAAGAAGGCCACAGCCGGACATGTATAAATAAACAGATGTGCTATTTTAGGCATAAAGTTAGATCTGATGGATGTATGGCAGAGATTCCAAAGGGAGACATCACTTGGCATGAAATTCAATCTGGGGGAAGTATGTTGGAGATTCCAATGGGTAAAATTAAAGGAAGAGCAAGAGGCAGAGAGAGATCACTTGGCATGAAATTCAATCTGGGGGAAGGATGGCAGAGATTCCAATGGGTGAAATGAAAGGAAGAGCAAGAGGCAGAAAGATATCACTTGGCATGATAACAATAGAAAATGGATTGGAGATGAGAAGCCTGAATTGGGTGCAGGCAGCGAGGAATAAAGTACAATAGCTGAAAACCGGAAGACATAATGATTGACTCCCTAATGTAAAATACATATAAGATACCAGTAGTCTAGATAAGTTACTGATTTAATGGGTATTCTATTCCTTGAAAGAAAACTCATTGCTGGAAACTTGCATATTTTTGGGTTTCAGTGACTTTTCCTTTTGTTATCCAACACCCAATATTTTGGTGCTGTTTTGCTTTGTTTACTAGGCAGTTGTTCTTCTTATTTCTGTATTCATATTCTAATATGAACCACCCCAGGCAACTACAGCACAAATTCAATACAGTAAGCTCTTTGTTGATGTTTTTTGATAAACTTAGACTGGTTTAATTTTCAGTTCATACTAATTTCAAGTAATCACCGTGTAACTCATTTGTCAATTTTCTTTTTCTTCACTAAAACCAAGGCCTGGTGGTTAGGACTCTCTACTTGTAATCTGCAGGTTTTAATCCCTGTCAGTGAACATGCCAAGAGTTGGTGGTGTTGCCTTCCCTCTAGTCTATCACTACCCAATTAGAGATGGCTGGCACAAATAGTCCTAGAGTAGCTTTGTACGAAGTTCAAAACAAACATCACTAAAATTTGTAAGTTCAGTGAAGAAAACAACAAATGTGTGAATGGCATAGACACTTACTCCTTCTGCAGTAGATTATACATACATTTTTTTTTCTTCAAACTACAGTTCTTTAGTACAAACAGTAAACATCCATGTAGTGGTGGAAATAAGCAAGTAATTTTCAGGATTTGATGGAAAGTCCTTTACATCAAATGGTAAAAAAAAATTGGTGCATAACTCATTAATCAGTTTATGGTGACAATGATCTCCCATGCATTATATGGTTGTTATATTACCAGTACAGGTTTTATGTTTCTTTGGAACACGTATATATGCACTGGCAAAGAGTGTGTATATTTATTATGCATGATTTTGGTTTCTGATGAATTTTTATTTGCACATCATATTTGGACCACCGAGTTAGTTCCGATTATAAACAACTCAATGTACACGCGCATTCACGTTCGATTAAGTGTGAAGCATTTTAAGTGGAAAATACGGTTGGCATGCTTTTAACTCTTGATTATTTTTATAATTTTATCATACGGTTAATCCAAAAGTACCTCGTATATTTGTTTATAAATTAACACGGGGGGGGGGGGGGGGCAAATTCTGTCATTAAAATCATGCACGTAGTAAATAAATCAAAGTTTTCAAATAAATATTTTACAACACAAAAGCTTTTTTTTCTTCTAATTTATAAAACATGATTAATATTTGATATAAAACTCATCAAAAAGTATTTTTCTTTCTTTAAAAGTAAACCTAAACTGTACAACTTGTCACTGCATCAAAAGTTTTGTAATAATAATAATAATAAAAGACAACAAGTTAGGTAACCAACCGTCATTTACAACACAAACACAAACCCTGCAAAGACTTTTGATTTGAGAAATTCAACAAATGTACTGCAAATTTAAAAAAAAAAGAGTATCACGAAGGATGGGATGAATGGGTAATAAAACCTTTCCTTTGACCTCGTGAGAGACCAATTCACGTCTTGTGTTAAGCCAAGATTATGCGACACCACAGGGGTGTGGAACTTAAAGAAGAAATAAAAATTGTTGCCCAAAATGTTAGAAAAATGAACGTACTCCCTCCCACAAAGAAAAAAAAAGTACAATACTAACTTTCCGGATTTTGCCATATTTAACGTTTGATACAATCAATTGATTAATAATCAATTTTGCTTCGTGGTTAAGCTTTTATTGTGTTTATGGCAAAAACTACTGAAGTAATTTGTTGCCGTTCCTAGTTCTTAACCCACAATCCATGCTAATGGATTGCCTGTCACTCTTATAACCTACCAACAACTTAAAGTATGAGCAATAATCTGTGGTATCTCACAAATTCAAACCCAAATGCAAGTTCCGAAATTCTGACCTACCATGTTCCAGTTTGATGAAGATAAAAAGTAAAATACACTAAATGCTCATCTGTTTGCATAATTTATATCTATAACATTTATTTGTCATAATTTCTAAATTAAACATTTTACAGACACGCTACAAAGGTACTGTATGCAGATGAAGTGTTTTATAAAAGTTAGTAGACGTTTTTCAGAAATGTCCGACTTGTAAGATGCAAACATGGATTCTTTTTTGATATACACCTTGCCAGATGTCTTTTATAGTGTGAAGTGGATAAATCAGATGTCTTTTTATAGTGTGAAATGGATAAACCAGGTCTTTTTATAGTGTGAAATGGATAAGCCAGATGTCTTTTTATAGTGTGAAATGGATAAACCAGATGTCTTTTTAGTGTGAAATGGATAAACCAGATGTCTTTTTATAGTCTGAAATGGATAAACCACGTTTTTTTTATAGTGTGAAATGGATAAACCAGATGATATTTGAATTCTAAACACGATGAAGATACAAATTGCTGTATATTCATTTAGGTCACCTTTCACACAAAATGCAATGAACACCAAATGTGGGCTATTTATAAATTAAACCATTCCAAATTATCTTACAAAAACCTAAAAAAATTGAACTATATTATTTATTTTACAATATTTTATTTTTGGACTTTTTTGTTGTTGTTAAGCACAAAGCTACACATTGGGATATCTGCGCCGTGCCCACTGTAGGTATCAAAACCTGTTTTTTTGTGTTATTAGCCTTCAGACTCACTGGTGAGCCACTGAGGGGAGGAATTTTTGGACTAAACGGTTTATATCCAAAATTAAATGCTATTTGCAGCCTTAATTTTATTGGATTTTGCTGTCACAAAGTAAAACAATGTTAAATATATCTTATATATAATAGTTTAAAGCTTTTTATTACTTTTGTTACCTTATATATTACTCCTAGAGGTGTCAGTCAAACCCTACTGGGTTCCTACTGTAGACAAATGCAATATTATAATATCAATTGAAATAAACTTGTTACTCTGTGTGTGTGACTGAGGGATGTGTACATAATTTCGGTTTTAGGTATGCATTTTTTAAAAGTTTGTTTGTGTGGGCTAGACTTCCCTAATTTTCAGGAAAGTGTGCGACTATTAGATGTTTTTTTTTTACAACGAAACAACGAGAATACAGAAACTACTGGTCCAATGGGTAAAGTAAAATGGCAAAACTTAAAGTCCCAGGTGACATGAATTCCACACCCCTGCACCAGAGCCAACCCCCCACCCAATTCCAGCAACATTAATCTGTTTGTCTAATGAGTTTTATGATGCACGCCAAATCTAGTACCAGCTTTATATACTTTTTCTGAATAATTTACCAAGGAATAGGAAAATTCCTCTAAAGTAACCACGGAGAAATTAAATTTTAGTCAGTCAAGGTTCTTGAAGTTTCCGAGTTTTTGTAAAATTAGAGTTTGATAACTTTCACAAGTTCTAAAAAAAAACAAGTGTGTGTGTGTCAGATCTGGGGCTACTGTCTAATTAGATCAAGCTTTAACAATGTGATTTACTTTTAACAAAAACTTTTTCGCTAATATAAGTAAATTTTAAGCTATTCTTTCATAAAACAATAGATAAGCTTGGCTCCTCAGCACCGAAGACTCGGATATTTGAGTGACGCTCGAGTCACTAATGTGAAACCACTTCCCTGGAAGTGTGGACAAGCTTTCGCTCTCCTCTCGAGAACTGCTATCGAGGTCTGGAAGAAGGTTTTCCTGATTTTGGTGACATCTTTTGCTCATATCCTCCATCAGCTGATCAACCTCACACTGTCTTAATGGATGTGTACACAAAAAGTTCTGTGGAGGAACATTTGACCTGACTTTGACATATGCTGTGTAGTGACCACTAGTCAACCGTCCACTGTGTTCCACTACTCCAAACAAAGAGTAGAGAATTTTCTTCTGACCTTTCTTCATATGGTCCAGGCTCTAAGAAAACCAGGAGACAGATCTTAGTTCCTGCATTGTAATTAAAATCCACAATACACAGACAAACGCATGTTTCATTTAAACCACCCGCCGAATTTTAATTTTACAGATAGCAGCAAGTAATCATAATGAGAGATGTTTTATTGCAAGGTGATTACCTGGAGTTGATCATCAACCTTGTAAGAAGAAGAAGAAGATGAAAAGAAGAGGTGAGAGGTTAAATCACTGTATTTCCAAATAACATGTATAATATTTTATAATCAATTTGCCAAACACTGTTCATTAAATAATGCACTAAAACACCATTAATTCCACTGCTTTAAAGGTATACTACATAATTATGTTTGAGTGAACATTACGTTATCATTAAATTTATCTGTCAAGTTTTATGTACACCTTAATTTAACGATCTGCTGTCCCCAGTTTTTCAGATTGACAAACCTGGGATTTGACACTGGTTTATAATTGCTCTTTTAAGAAGTATCCTATCCGCTTAACTTACAAACAGTATGAAGTTTTGAACAGCTATCTGTGGGATAAAAGGTTTATTTCTGTACAACATTTCATCTCTAACAGTTGCTGCACGTGTCTCACTGTTAAAAATGATATGTTAAAGAGAAATAAATCTTATTATCCCACAAGTAGCTGTTTAAAACTTTATACTGGTTCACATGGTTGTAAAACACAGTGATTTTGATGTCGGATCTGGTGTAGCCTGGCCAAACAAGACCTGTGCCGATCATTCTGACACTTTGATGACTGAATGGTTTGCTAATGGAACCCAATACTCAGATTTATAATAGCAATCTAGAATTGGTAAAGTTACCAGTTCTGTCAGAGATTCAAGTCTTAACCTGGAGCAGAATCACAGCCATGACAATAACCCAACAATGTAATCAGAGCCATAATACTCTAACCCAACAATGTAATCACAGCCATAATATTCTAACCCAACAATGTAATCACAGCCATGACACTAACCCAACAATGTAATCACAGCCATAATATTCTAACCCAACAATGTAATCACAGCCATAATACTCTAACCCAACAATGTAATCACAGCCATGAAATAACCCAACAATGTAATCACAGCCATGACAATAGCCCAACAATGTAATCACAGCCATGACACTAACCCAACAATGTAATTACATCCATAATACTCTAACCCAACAATGTAATCACAGCCATGAAATAACCCAACAATGTAATCACAGCCATGACAATAGCCCAACAATGTAATCACAGCCATGATACTAATCCATAATCATAGAATATGCCTCATGTTCTAACATCATTTTACTAAAATACATTTACTAGTTTCATTACAAATAAAAAAACGTTGGGACTCATAACCAAAATTTCCCTACATCACACCGTCGAACTAAAAAATAAACGTATAATTTACTTGGTTCAGTGTAACTAGTGTTATGCCAGACTGTTTGTATAATTTACTGGGCTCAGTGTAACTAGTGTTATGCCAGACTGTTTGTATAATTTACTGGGCTCAGTGTAACTAGTGTTATGCCAGACTGTTT